AGTGGTAAACTCCCTGTCTCTGAAGATTAACAACTCTTTTGGAACTTGTGGTCTTAGAGAGTTGCCTATGGCATTAAAAAGTGAGGTGACTTTATAATAAACCTAGAACTGGGAGGAATCTCAGAGCCATCTCATCCCACCTTCTTTTTTCAGATGAGGAAATTGAGGCCCAAGAGGTTAGGTAATTTACACAAGGTCATACAGATAGTAATGGTCAAAAGCAGCATTTGAATTCAAGACTTTTGATTTCAGTTAGTGCTCTCTTCATTTGTCCAGGGTCACAAAGTCAATCTATATCAGAGGCAGGACTCTAACTGAGGTCATCCTAACTCCAGGGCTGGCTATTTGTCTTTGTAAAAGATAGATTAGACCACTGCCTTTGCCAAAGGTTTAAATCAACATGGTATCCCTTTTTAAAAAAAAATCAATGAAAACTCACTTTCTAAATGGAAAAAAATCGGTTGCTTAACCATTCACCTAGGTCCCTTATAGTCACAATTTTAAATTCCCACAGAGCTGATTATTTCCTTCATCCTTCTGTTGCAGATAAATTGCCCTCCAAACAGTTTACTGTCTGATGTTTTGTCTAAGACCTTCCAACCCAAGATTCTTTTGGCTTAGTGGGGCCCATAAAAACTCCATGACATTTTTATAGAATGAGCTATTTGTCTTGATGTGTTTGGCCAAATTTTACTGACTGGCATGAAATCTATAAGCAAATGAAAGGCTGGAGTACTTTAATAGTGTGCTAGTTAAACTATGAGCAGAAGGGAAGTGTCCAGCAGAAATGGAAATTATCTTGGTTGAATAGGCAGCTAGGTGACACTGTGGGTGGAGCACTGGATTTAGAATTAGGAAGACTTTTTACCAGCTGTGTGATCCTGGGCAAGTCATTTAACTTTTGTCTGTCTCAGTTTCCTCATTTGCAAAATGGAAATAATACTAATAGCACTTACCTCCCAGGACTAATGCAAGGATATAATTAGATAACATATGTAAAGCATTTTGCAAACCTTAAAGTGCTATAAAATTTTCATTATCATTATCATCATCATCATCATCATCTTCTTCTTCTTTTCCTCTTCCTCCCCTCCTTCCTCCACTTCCTTTTTTTCCACTTCTCCTCCTCCTTCTTCACCAAACTGGAGGATACTAAAATCAAAAGCCCTGGAGTTTCATCTCATAACAAAGCTAATTGTGTGTTGGTTAGGGATTGGAAAGAGGGGTATGTATGGCAATTATATAGGGAGGACTAGACTTGTAGAGAAAAGGAGAGAAAATCTCTAGGTAGAAGCGGTGGAAAGTAGTGGAAAAATATTATATTTAGAGTCAGTAAGATCTGTATCAAATCTGACCTCTGCTACTTCTACATAAGTGACCTTATCAAGTCACTTAAGATACCTAAGTGACTTAAACTGAGACTCAGTTTCCTCATCTGGAAAATGGGGATATTACCTGAAGTACCTACCTCACAAAGTACTGTGAGGATCAATGAGATACAAATGAAAGGTACTGTATGGAGATCCATATTCCAGCAAATTTGGAAAACACAACAGTGGCTACCGGATTGGAAAAGATCAGTTTACCCAGTCCTAAAGAAGGGCAATGCCAAGGATGTTTAAATTATTGAACTGTGCTCATTTTACATGCCAGGAACATTTTACTTAAGACTCTGCAAGGTAGGCTTCAGCAATATGTGAACTGAGAACTACCAGAAGAGCAGGCCGGTTTTCAAAGAGACAGAGGAACTAGAGACCAAATTGCCAATAGTTGCTAGATTATGGAGAAAGCAAGGGAGTTCCAGAAAAATATCTCTTCTGCTTCATTGACTACACTAAAGTCTTTGACTCTGTGGATCACAACAAAATGTGACAAGTCCTCAAAGAGATGGGAGGACCAGATCATCTGACTTATCTCCTGAGGAACCTGTTAGCAGGCCAAGAAGAACCGAACGTGGAACAATTAATTGGTTTACGATTGGAAAAGGAGGATGGCAAGGCGGTATATTGTCTCCCAAAGCAGTACATTGTCACCTTATTCATTTAACATATGCAGATTACATCGTGTAAAATGGCAAGCTGGATGAATCAAAATCTGGAATTAAGGTTGGGAGGAGAAATAGCAACAATCTCAGATATGTAGACAACACATATAATAATGGCAGGAAGTGAAGAGGAATTAAGAAGCCTCTTGATGAGGGGTGAAAGAGGAGAATGTAAAAGCTGGCTTGAAGCTTAACATAAAACAAAAACAAAAACAAAACAGAACTAAGATCTTGGCAACTGCTCCCATCACATCCTGGAAAATAGAGGGAGAAGAAATGGAAGCAGTATCAGATTTTTTATTCTTGGATTCAAAGATCACTGCAGATGGTGACTGCAGCCATGAAATTAAAAGATGTTTGCTCCTTGGAAGAAAAGCTATGGCAAATCTTGACAGCGTACTAAAAAGCAGAGACTTTACCTTGCCAACAAAGGTCCATATAGTCAAAGCTATGTTTTTTCCAGTGGTAATGTATGGCTGTGAGAGTTGGACTATAAGGAAAGCTGAGCACCACAGAATCTACACTTTTGAATTGTGGTGCTGAGGAAGACTTTTGAGAGTCCCTTGGACAGCAAAGGAGATCAAATAAGTCAATACTTAAAGAAATTAATTTAGGCTATTCACTGGAAGGTCAAATAGTGAAACTCACACTTAAATACTTTGGTCACATAATGAGAAGATGGGACTCATTGGAAAAGATACTGATGTTAGGAAAGATTGAAGGTAAAAGGAAAAGGGGTAGGCAGAGGATGAGATGGATAGGTAGTCATAGAAACAATGAACATGAGCTTGGACAGACTTAGAGAGACAGTGGAGGATAGAAGGGCCTAGCATGCTATGGTCCATGGGGTCACAAAGAGCTGGACATGACTGAATGACTGAACAATGACATATACGTATCAGGACTACCCTGTGACTTCGTTGGTATATAGAAATTCCCAGTATGGAAATTCCCTCTATCAATAAAGTTCAGCATCTCTGTAACTTTTGGACTGAGAGAATTACCTAAAGCACTCAGAGGTTAAGGGACTTGCCCAATGTCACACATCCAGTATGTATCAGAGGTAGGGCTTGAACACAAATCTTTCTGTCTGACTCCCTTTTCTCTGTGCTAGATTATCTCCCTAAGGTAAATTGTTACGACTACAGCAGCAGTACAATAAGAATCCTAGGAGTTAATCATGAAATAATGGAAATGGAAAAAGGACCAGAAAAGAATCTAGGATTATAGTCAGTCAATAAGCATTCATTTAGTGCCTACTATGTGCTAGACATTATGCTAAGTGCTGGGGATACAAAGAAAGGCAAAAACCAGTTGCTGCTCTCCCAAGGAGCTCACAGTCTAATGGAAGAGCCCAGTTTACTTTTATCTATATGCATATGTATTCAAGGATATTTCACTCTTCTTTAGTTAAAAATGGCTCAACTTACATTGAATTAATACCCCTTAAATGTAGATAATAGTCACACATAATTAAATCTATTTGGAGACAGATGATGCACTCCCCAGGATATGGAAAGAAAGTTTGCTTTGGACAGAACAGTGATGTTCGACCTCTGGCCCTTGCATGTATATCTTTTGTAGACCAAATAATGAAAGGGTTCAGTTCTCGATGCCATATTTTAGGAAGGACATTGACCATCTTAAAAGCATCCCAAAGAGACCCATCCAGAGGATGATGAGGGGCCTTGGAATTGTGCTATATGAGAGTCAGTGGGACTTGAGAGCTGTCCTGGAGTCCATGAACTTAACTTAAAATATTTTAATAACTGTATTTCAATATACCAGCTTCCTTTGTAATTTTATATATTTTATCTTATACATTGAAAAGCACTCTTTTGGGAAGGGGTCTGTCTATAGCCTTCACCAGAGTGCTAAAAGACTTGAGGACACACAAAAAATGTCAAGAATTCTTGGTTTAGATGATTTCTGAAGTTTCTCCTCATTCTCTCTCTCATGTATATGTATTATTCTTTTTCAAATGTGTGCTGATGCTCTTTGTATCACTAAAATACAATTTCATTTAAAAGTGCTACTGAATTCATAGTAGCTTTTTATCACCACATATTTTTGTATTTTCTCAACTGACAGATGTTAATGACAACTATCGTGGGGGGAGGGAGGCTCTGTGAAATGTTTAGATGTTCAAAGGGTTCTTCATATTAATAAAAAGCACTGCTGGCTTGGGAGAGAAAGAATAGAATTGTACCTAGGGCTGAGGGTTCAGGCTGGTCTCAGGGCCCTGGGTTTAGAGGTAATTAATGGGTACTTTCTGTCTTCAGTAGAATGGAAACACCTGACCTTAGCACCTAGTTTGCCAGTACGTTTAGTTGAAATAGAAAATTATCAAATTGTGGTTGCCTTGTCCTGTAATTGTACTCCTTCTTTCATGCCTTATGGAATAGCCTAGGGCTGGCTTCCAAAGGACTCTTATTTCCCCATTGTGGAGCAGTGAGGTTTCACACTGCTTGTCCCAGGCACAAACATTCCTTGTTATGGCCCTGATAGACATTATACAACCAAAACCAGTAAACAAATACCCAAATAATAAATATATTTTTACATCCTTTCTCTGTTTCCTTGAAATCACCACCATCCCTCCCCCACTCCCCACCCCAGTTTATCATGCAATTAGAATTTGGGAAAATATCACATTCAGATCTTCAAAGGTCATGCAACACCACTATGAGTGCCTGTAACAGGAACAGTGTTCTTGGGATCCCTATGAAGGTGTCAGCATCTCATTTAATTAAAGTTGGAGCCCCGGAGTTTATGACCTTAATTTTTCCTTCAAAATTAGTTTCAGAAAAATAATTTCCTTAAACCTACAATAACCTAAGGTGGGGTCCTTATGCCTGATGTGCCCAGGGCTACCTTTCTGGTGGCCCCATCGTTCCCTTGGGTTCTAGAATGAGGGGGCCCACCCCCTGGGGGAGGGTCAGACTTGAAGATTTACCTGCCAGTACAACCTGATGAGTTTGCTGACATATTGCTCACTTCCTCCTGATAGCCAGTACATATAGTTAGCGATCATGGCACTCCTGAAGATCAAAAAAGAAACAAATTCATAAAACAAATGACAAGCTCCCAAACCTAGCACAGGAAACACTGTATTGAATACAACAATTATAAAAAGTTAACATTTGCATTACTATCACATTAAATAAGTTGTAAAGCCTTCTGCAACCTCTCTTAATTCCAGTGCCCACCCTCTGTTAATTAATTCCCATTTATCCTGAATATAGCTTGCTTTATTTTTGTTTGCATGTTTTCTCCTTCATTTGATTGTAAACTCCTTGAGGGCAGGTACTGTCTTTTGTCTCTTTTTGTACCCTCAGCACTCAACACAATGCCTGGCACATTGTAGGCACTTAATCAATATTTATTGATTGATATCTATATTGATATTCTGCTGACCTGTAGGCCTAAAGCAGCAGTGTATTTTTCTCTTATTTGTTTTTTTTTAAACTTCTATTTATAAAGTATACAAATATTTAGAAGCTGCAAGAGAAGGATTTGCTTCAGTTGCTTCTTATTAAACTTTAGAGCATTTGGGGACTAAATTCCATTTTATACACTCTGAAATGCCTTGAAAGTCATAACGGCATAGATGGCTAACTAACACAGGCTTTTAGGCATATCTCTCTCTTTGCTAAAGTCAAAACTTGTTTGTTTTTGATTAAATTAAGCCTCCTTAGAAATTTCCAAGAAAAAAAATCTCACAAACCTCCTCGCCCACTCCGACATCTTTGTCTCTAATTGAATCTGTTTTAGTATCCAGACTGCTTGTTACAACCATTGCATTCCTCTTATTAGACTGGGGGAGGGGAGGGGGGATTAAGGGAGCTGGGGGGAGGGCTTAACAACTATCATGAAATGGATATTAATGTGTTGCTTGAATGCAATTTGGAAGAATGTTTTGCTTTTATGGTTGCCTCTCTGGTAGGCCTCTCTATTTCTTTTCTCTAGAGACTCCAAATCCAATTAAATGTGACTGGAAGTAATTCCAAATTGTCACGTTAGCCAATTAAACATATAATAATCCCGTGTACCTAATCACAAGTGCCAAAAGTTTATTTATTGAGGTAGAGCTGTCAATGTGTACCCCTGGATGTTTTCTTATCTTGGTCTGCAGAAATGTGTTGTTTCTTGACATTCTTGTAAATTGAATTTGAAAACTTCCCTCCCTAAATATAGGCATCTCAGACATAGCCCCATTATAACTCAGCTGGGGGTGGTGTAGTGGAGTAGCTAGGGAGCTAAATCTGAATCAGGAAAATTTGGGCTCAAATTTGGATTCTGAAAATAACTGGGAGACCATGGGTAAGTCATTTAGGACTCCTCCCTCTCAGTCTCTCTTTCTTCACTTTTGTAGCAAAGGGAGAGTTTGAGTAGATGAGTCTAAGATTCCTTCCAGTTCTGGTTCCATATCTAAGATCTTAGGATGAGGTGAAATCATTAGAAAGTCTGGGTTCTTCTCACCTGGCCCAGAAGACAAAAACTGAAAAAAATACCACTGGAAAGAACAATGATCATTTTGGAATTGGCCCTAGAATTAAGAGAATGAAGCATTTACATGTTTTTTTTCCTCTTCCTGTTGCTTCTTCTTCGTTTTCAAAGAGGACCAATGACATCGGGAGGGTGAAGTCTTGACTTTCAAGTGAATTGGGTTTAAGTGAGGCAGGGCTGCATAAAGTCATTAGCCTCACTCTCTCCTCCACAGTCATCAGAGTCTAATGTCAAGACAAGAATCAAAGGACTGGTGATGGACCAGGATGCAGTACACGTGGCCAACTAGTTAGACTTGGGAATGAAGCTATCCATTTAAAATTCAAAATAAAAAAAAAAAACTTTTGGAAGAAAGAGTGGGGTCACTTAAGATGTTCTGGGGACTGTGCATGTCTGAAAGGGTAGAGTGAATCCCACATGTAACAGGAGAGAGGTAAGTCCATTTCAGAGCTAGGAGAGTCTCAAAATCACTTGGAAGAATTCTACTACAGAAAGGGTAGAAAGATCGGGCATCACTGAAATTGCTGACTGATTTTCCAAAAGCAATCTAACCTGCTATCTTTCCCCTAGGTGATGCAGAAGATGGAGATCCTGACTTAAAGGCAGGAACAACTGAGTTCCAATCCTGCCTTGGATACTTACTGGCTCTGTGACTCTGGTTAAATATCGTCATCTCTAGCCTCAGTTTCCTCATCTGTAAAATGGGGAAATTAATAGTATCTATCTTACAGGGTTGTTTTGAGAATCAAATGAGAGATTATTCATAAAGTGCTTCTGAAACCCTAAAGCACTATGTAAATATTAGCTACTGTTATCAATTCAATTGACATTTCACTAGTTCAACAAATTGTGATACATACAGGTAATGGGATATTATGATGATGAATATGAGGGATTCAAAGAAGGATGGCAAGACTGTTATAAACTGATGAAAGGTTAGGTAAACAGAACCAGGAGAATAGAATTCACAGCTATTACCACAACATTGATGGAAAGACCAACAAAATTAAACTTAGTGTTGCTTAATTAAAATAGTTAAGTTTGATGCAAGAGAAGGGATGAGAACATGTACTTCCCCCTCTTTATTAGAAAGGTCGGGCTATCATATTATTATTATTTTTTTAGGCAATTGGGGTTAAGTGGCTTGCCCAGGGTCACACAGCTAGTAAGTGTCAAGTGTTTGGTCTGAGGCCAGATTTGAACTCAGGTCCTCCTGACTTCAGGGTGCTCTATCCATCGTGCCACCTAGCTGCCCCAGACTATCATATGTTGTCTGTATATTGACTGGTTTGACTATTTTTTTATTTGAAATTTCTGGTACAAGAGACTCCACCTTAAGACTTTTAAAATCTTTGGTACAAAGGATGGTTTGGTGGGGAGGGATGTGTGGAGTGTTATATTCAGTTATAAGTATGATGGAAAGCAAAAGACATCAATAAAACTAAAAAAAGAGGGAAAAGATGGTAGGTGCCTCTAACATTTTTTCCTATGCTAATCACTTACTTGAATTATAAGCTTAAGGGATTCACGTATTGGGTTGAAAATTTGTTCTTAAAAAAACAGAATCTCATAAATTTACAGATTGTTGGTGTCCCACATTGCCATCTTAGGTCCACCATTTTGCCTATGTAGCTGTTGTCAGCTGGAATTCTGGGCCCAGTTTACTCTTTTGCTCAACAAATCATCCTTAATGAAAATTCCGGTTATCAGTTAAATAAATAAATCATTAGGCTGAGGGCAGAACAAGGATCCTTGGCACAATTTATTCATTTGCTGTTTGTTGTCAGACATTAGAAGAATGCCAGAATTAAAACGTCCCAGCCAAAGACTATTTCAGTTCTCAGTTATATGTGTTCCTAGCTCAGCTATGCAAGACCATTGCAGTTCGTGGTTGCAATATTAGTGGACAAAGAGATCTAGAGAGACTACAAAATTCAGGTGGTTGGAAAGACATAATAAAACAATGAAACACAAGACCAAATGGGAAGGATTATGAGGATGGAAGATGAGAGAAGGTAGTTTGACACCAATGAAATAATAAGTCAAAATGATTGGGTTTTAGGGATTATTGCTACGGTAGAAATAAAAATGTTATTATTTTGAATATATTTTGTATGTCTCACTTGTTTACATGCCATGCCTCCAATTAAAGGCTCCTTGAGGGCAGATAATGTTTGTCATTTAAAAAATCTTCTCCTATTACCTAGCCCGATGCCTTGCACATGGAAGGTGCTTAACACAATGCTTGTTAAATCAAATTTGAAAAAAGAAATTCCTAATTTTAATTTTCAAAAATTCCTAATTTGAGCTTAGGGAACATTGTGTTGTTGATGTCTCACTCTCCTTCATCCCTACTCAACCAATCACTTGAGGAATCTTATCTTACCTTCACAACATCTTTTAGATCCAACCCATCCTCTCCACTCACAGAGCTACCATCTTAGTTCAAGCCCTCACTACTTCTTGGCTAGATGAGTCCAGCATCCTCCTAACTGGCCTTCCTGACTCAAGTCTCTCCCCTCTCCACCCCATCCCACACACCATTGCCAATGTGCCTTTCCTTAAGCACAGATCTTGCTATTTCCCTACTCAGTCAACACCAGTGGCTCCCTATTTAGCCTTGAGAATAAAACACAGACTCCTCTATTTAGCTCTTTTTCCAAGAGAGGCAACCTCTCTTGCTGACCTCTTTGGACACTGCTCCCCATCCTGCGTGCTGTGATCCAGTCACATCGGCCTTATTTTCTTTTCCTTACGAACAGCGCTCCCATTTTCCCATCTCTGTGCCTTCGCAATAGCTATGTCCCGTACCTGGAATGCTCCCCTCTGCCTTAGAGGGTCCCTCTCTTCAAGACTCAGCTTAATTACCACCTATGTTAAGCTTTTCTGATCTCCTAATTGCTACTGCCCTTCCTCTCAAAGCTCCCTTATATTTAATTTATATGTAATACAATAATTAATATATAATAAATTAACATATATATGTATATGAAACATTAATATATAAATACTTTAGATATACTAATATATAAATAAATGCCAATATTTATTTGCTTTATATTTATGTTATATATATTTTATACACACTTGTTTTTTTCCCATTAGAATGTAAGCACCTATCAAGGGATGATGATTTCATTCTTTGTCTTTCCATCTCTGGCACCTAGCACATAGTAGGTGCTTAATGATTGCTGATTGGTTGACTGATTGAATGTATTTACCACTTTGCTCATGTTGGGGCTAAACACATAGCTTATAGCTAGCCTTATGATAGAATGTAAACATTACAAAAAGCTTCATATACTTTATTCTCATTAGATGCTCAAAATAAGCTCTCTGAAGGTGGGCATGTATGCTCATGGGTGCCTGGCACAGAACAGGTGCTTGACAAGTATAAGTTGATTGCTTAATTGAGTGATATGGCAAGTATCACTATTCTGACTTCATAGCTGAGGAAACTGAGAATCCTGGAGGCTTGCTGTATGTCACACAGTTAGTAGGTGGTGGAGTTAGGGTGCCAATTTCTCAATTC